TATTTTTAATACAGAGAGGAGGTGCTCTAAAGAAAGGACCGAATGCAAAAGCCCTGCAAGTCATGAAACAGTCATTACCATATACGTTAGAGGATCTTGTCTGGGACGAAGGCCATAAAACAAATATCCAGCAATGTTACTGCTACTGTGGAGGCCCTGGAGAGTGAGTGCCCAGCATGTTTAACTCTGCTACGCCCAGTGTTCAGTGCGTGTCTACAGGTTTAGCTGTGGGTTCACACCTTTTAAGTCTTAACATCACATAGAATGAGAGTTAAATGCTCTCTTCTGGCCTGTTGTATTTTTAACCTAAACCTCAGATGTTTTAGGAAGATCAAAATCTGCTGCTTTCTGAAGAATTGTCTGCATGGGGCCTTCTTTTCCTGTTTATAAACCCACTAAAACAGGTTTCTAGTATTCTGAAAAGCATCTGGTTTAATGATCTCTATTGTGTTTTTCTTTACCAAGTCTGTATTGATTTATTATTGCACATACCGACTAGCTTAAGACAGACACGAGGAAATGGGGAATTTTTTGTTTTTTTTTTTGTTTAAACCCTTGCTTGAGGGGTTAAAGTTGTCCAAGAGCAGATTACTCTGAAGATGTGCTTTTCATCTCCTTATGTATCTAACCTGAACAGATTAATGCCAGGCTGAATTAACTGGAACATTTCCATTCTCTGTAGCTGGTATCTGAAGATGCTGCAGTGCAGTAAATGTAAGCAGTGGTTTCATGAGGCTTGCATTCAGTGTTTCCAGAAGCCAATGCTTTATGGGGATAGGTAAGATGGCATCTGTTTCTTTCATAAAAACACATTTACAAAGTGTTGCTGGCATTACTTAAAATAATTTTTAATGCTTTTTTATTCTAGGTTCTATGTGTTCATATGTTCAGTTTGCAATTCCGGACCAGAGTACCTCAAACGTCTGCCTTTGAGGTGGTAAGTTGCAATTTTCAGTTATGACATGAAATGGCTGTTACAGTAATCGAACGGACTAGTGTGCATGGTTGTATCCAAACTTTATTCATATTTTTTCAGAGTAGGTCATCTCATCCCAGTCGCATACAAATGTATATATTCTGGTCTCAAAAACCCCAAGTCTGATAATTTATTAAAAGGCCTCCCGATACGGCACTCGAACATTTCACATAGTTGCTCATTTAAAATATTTCTTTAAGACGTACTGTGTTGGATATCTCAAAGCAAGAGAGAGTTTGAGTGCAAGATCAAAATGGTGGCCATGCACCCATCTTGGTACACACAGAAACAGCATTGTGTCAGATGGTATTAATAGACTTGAGAAAATTACACCATTTTGGAGTTCATGAGAGTTAGGGTTACAGGCCACATTGATGACAAAAACAAAATTTCTTGCACATTCATCATGTTGATCGTAGAATGTATACTTTTAAGGTTTGCAATTATTTCGGAATTAATTGGGCAAACGGTTTTTGATCAGGAGCAGTGTGGGCCTTCTTTTCTTAAAATGGTTTGACTTATTGTGAGCTTTATAACGAGTACAGCAACGTTTCAAATGTAGACTTTCTTTGGTTGTTGATTTAGCCAACCTACTTTCGTTTCAACTGGTCCTACAGTATACTGGATGATTTTGAAAGTTTTCAAATACGGGGATCAGGCCAACAATTGCTAGGCTGCCTAGTTTAAAAATTGCCAAGAAAAAGATTCAAGTATAGGTTTAATCCATGCTAAAAAGACGCACCTGAAGAAGACAATTATATATAGAGACAATCCTGGTACAGCTCTTGTTTTCCATTGAAGGGTATAGCACTGTTCTTAATTTTCATGTTGACCTGCTCTCTCCCCACAGGGTAGATGTAGCACACCTGAGTCTGTACAACCTGAGTGTTATTCACAAGAAGAAGTATTTTGATTCGGAGCTGGAACTGATGGCGTATATTAATGAAAACTGGGACAGACTACAGCTGGGAGATGTAGGATTATTTTTAATGCATTTTTTTTCACTTAACCAACAATTTACAAAAATATAGAATATTGTGCTTTAGGCGTGTATTTGGTCTTAAGATCTCTTGCATGTTTTCATAACACTATTGTTGTGTATATGTTTATTTTTGCAATATGTTTATAATGCTCTTTTAGTGTATTGTATGTTTTTTGTTTACTTTTTTAATGTACCAGATGACCATAGCGTCGTTTTTAAACAAACATCCTCTATTTGTGTCATTAAAATTTAATATTAGTGAGTATGAATTTAAAGTACTGAGTGTACATTTGCAGATTTATAAATATCCTGACGTGTAACATTTTGAAAGATTTTGTTAAAAGTAATTAACCATGAACTGCACACAGTCTGAACAATTTCCTTAATTTTTGCAGCTTGGTGACACGCCAAAATCTGAACGATATGAAAGTATTCTTGAAGCTCTGAACAAAAACAAGACTATGTAAGTTGCATTGTTGTAAATACAAGTGTTCATATGTTTTGTCATTGCAACTGTGGGCTGAATGGTGCTCTTATACTGGTGACTGTGATATTTTAAGGTTTATGTCTGGAAAGGAAATAAAGAAAAAGAAACACTTGTTTGGGCTGAGAATCCGCTTTCCACCTGCTCCTCAGAACACTGACTCAAGGGCTGACCGAGAGCCTGAGCGGGCTTCCCATGAGATCAAAATTAAAGGCAGGAAGTCCACAAAGCCTATCCCCGACACCAGGTGAGAGACCCCTTGTTATACATCTGTTACATGCGTGTTTAAAACGGAGGTCGAAGTGGGTAGCCTTAAAGGTAGAGGAACTCATTTAAATGGTCTCATGCCTGCGTAATCACCATTGCGTGATCCTGTCGTGCCTTTTTCCCCCGAACCATAAGCATAACTACAAGTGCTGACAACTTTTGAATGTTTATGAATGATTCACAACTAAGATCCTAAAAATTAAAACGTGCTAAGCAAATGAGGAAAAGTGAGGCTATGTAAGTATTACTGATATTCATACCACTAAGCGAAGGTTCTCAAAGAGCAGGTGACTCTGTTTTGTGACCCGCAGTGGTTAAACAGTTTGATTTGTCATTGTGAAATTGACAGGTTCCTCCGGAACTTTTGTGGAGGGTGGTGTCCCTGAGATGTTCTTCAGTGATTTGTGAAGTACTGGCTTTCTCCTTTCTGTGAAAAGTCAGCCGGGTCGTGGCTCTGCTGTGAGGACTGCATCAGTGAAAGTGGAACTCTGGGAGGGTCAGGCAATCAAGTCAGCTGACCTCTCGTTCTGTCTTTCCAGTGAGATGATGAATGGAGTCGTTAGAAAGGGAAAAAGAAAGCATGTCAGACACTCGCTTGAAACGGCTGCAAAACTCAGACGGTCATCCGCACTGCCAGCCCAGGTGGGTGTGGTGCTTTTCCTGCTTTCAAGTTTGTCACACAGGAGTTTGCTTGTAATGAAAGCAGCTTAGTTTGATTGTGTTTATAAGTCCTTATTTGAACTGTGTTTTTTTTCCTTGCTTCAGGGCAATGAAAAAATTTTAGTGTCGGAGAACAACACCTTGGACCTTCTTTCTTCTAAAAGGTAGGCTTTGTCACGGGGCATTCCTATGCATTTTTGGTTTATACGTGCAAATTGTCCTTACGTTTTTGCATTTCTTTTTTATTGCCTGGATAATTTGCAGCAGGACTGACAAATCGGCACAGTCTTCAAGTACCTCAGACGTGGAATCCATTGGTGCAACAAGTACCACTGAAACTACCTCAAGTACTTCAAGGCAGTCAAGGTAAGGAGACTTTTGGGCATCGCAGGGTCCTTGGTAAAACCTTGAGTTAGAGGGAGAAATTGGGGAAAACACTATGGGATGTTTCTAGAGTATGTGCTTAAAAATCAGGTTTTTAAGATCTTAGTGTGACTGTAAATTGTCTTGATACAGTAGCGCTAGACCAGGGTTCGAAAGAAGCAGGACAGACATCTTTTATCACTTGCTCTTGTGTTCCACCATTGGCATTGCTGTTTCTGAACCCTGGCAGCATACCCTGGGGTGCAACACGGGGGGCGATGTTCGAAATCTCCCTCCTCTTCGCACACCAGCGGTTCACCTGTGGTGCAGCTGGGATACTTTACACACGGGGGAGGAGGATGGGCAGCAAGTTTAGGGCTGTTTTTGCTGTCCCGCCAGCTTGTGCAGCTCGCGCAGGAGGACCCGCACGGGCAGGCTGTGGCCGATTGCCCTGCCGCCCCTGAGGCGGGGGCGGAGACGAGCGCAGCGCCCCCCCCGGAGGGCGCTCCAGCCCCCCAACCCCGAGATCCCCAGGGAGCAGGAGTCCAAGGACCAGTGTCCGTTCCCGGGGCTCAACACAGACATTGTCCACAACATGGACCAGGACATGCAGCTCAGTCACCTGAAGAATTCGATCACTAATTACTTTGGCGCTGCAGGGAGAATGGCCTGTGGGGAGAAATACCGGGTTCTGGCCCGGCGGGTCACCCTGGATGGGAAAGTCCAGTACCTGGTGGAATGGGAGGGCGTTACTGCATCATAAGCTTATTTGCTCCCACCTGCATTTAGTCCTTGGAGGCACATAATGCAGCCGAGAAATAATTATTTATGCCAGTGATCTTCTTTATTCTCCCTTTTTTTTTTTTTAATGCTGAAGCATATTGATTAAACTATACAGACCAGGTGGGTAAATGTGAATTCCAGGCCCATGTTGAATCGAGACCTATTGTGCTCCTGTAGGTGTTTTGAATAGTGGCTGTCGTGGTGCAATTACTCTTATTTAATCTGGATCTGGGATGAGATGGTTTCAAGCTTTGTTTTCATTTACCTCTGAGATCGAACAGTGCAATTTGACTGCAGCTTGCTATGCCATCGTCTCCGTCTGCACAGTGTAAATGTCTTGGTTATAGAGTGTCTTAAAATAAAACTATAGCTGAATATGCTGCTGCATGTAATTTTATTATACCTGTCTGTAGATTTTTTTTTCTTGTTTTAATATGCCTTTAATTGAGAGCAATCACTTTTGAGCACAATCTCTGATTTAATTTTCTCCCTGGGTGCACATCAGGAGCTATGATTTCCTTTAGCCTGTTAATTGGATACATGTTTTATTTCCATCTGAATGTGCTTTCATATTTACAGCATGTGAGCTCATGGAAACAAACGGGAAGTCTCATGTTGCTTTCAACTCACTGCCAGTGGCAACTGAAAACAAGGCATTTATTGGTTTGTACTGAAGGTTTATAGCATTCTTCTGAAACTGGCAATTAGCAGTGTTATTCACTAGTTTTTTTCTTCACTTTGTTCATCTGTACTGGGGAAACAAGTACGTTTCTCAGACTTGTACAATTCTAAATAATTCAAGAATAATAGCAGTTACAGCATTGTTGAGATGCAAAATATTAAGATTGTGAATCATTTGTAGGGAATGATCTGGAGCATAAATAGTATTATAAATCCATGTCGTAACTATTTTATTTGCAGACAACTCTTTTGTAAGTACTAAAGTTGTAGCACAAGTTCAATTAATTTGTCATGTATGAGTAGCTAGCTCATAAATCATGTTTTTCATTGTTAAAAAAATCAGAAAAATAGGCATTTTTGATGTAGCTAACGCTTTGTTTCCGTTGTTTTGACGGAGTGTTTAAATTGGTTCTAGAGAACACCTAATACTTCTCGAGAATCTGCAGTTTGGGATATTTTCTGTATTTTCTAATAGAATTCCAGATGTTATATTCGGACTGTGTGGTTTAGATGTTCCACTAATACGTGCGCTTCAGTGAGCTGGTAGCGAGACATTTCAGACCCCCAGAATCATGGTATCCTTTTGGGTTGCGTTGATTGTGCTCCGTGTCAGAGCCATACTCGAAGCGTATGGAATATGAAATCTAGAGTTGACCCAGCCTTACAGAATCAGTTTGAACCTTCTGTTGAGCTCAATACTTGTGCATTTTGTACTTTAGTATCCGCTTCCTATGCAATTGAAAATATTAAAAGAACTTTAACATTTGGTTGCTTACAAAATGTAACATCTTTGGCCATACCTTTTCTTCAGGAACAGACGCAATATTTTGCAGTTTTCTCAGGCTCTTACCTACCGGTGCTACGCATTGCTAAAGGGGTTAAAAAATGTGCACTTAGTATCAGTCTTTCACAGGTTAAGATCGAGTTTGTGCTCTTTCAGTTTGACCTTTACTCTCAGGATGTCATCAGTAAAGTTACTGTGGAATTTAATTTTTTTAAATGTTTTTATATATGCAGTGGTAAGTTTTTTTTTTGTCAGAATTAATTTTCATGGTGAAGCCCTGAGGTGTCTGACAGTATAAATCAGGCGAGGGTTTTCTTTTTAAAAAAAAAGTGTAGTGCACACATTATTGATATGGTAGTGAATGCTGGATTCACATACATCTCCAGCTAAATTCACCAGCTTGTAAATGGACACGCCTAGGTTTTCTGGCAAAAGTGTACCCCAGCCTTAAAATATCTATGAAGCTTTATTTCATAGTTCTTTGTTATAATGGTCATAGAACTTTTCACTGTTCAATCCTGTAAACCCCAAGTTAACATGTGCAACATTTCTTCTGCTTGATGTCCACTGTGTAGTTTTCTTAATGTTCTCGAGTTTCCCTTGCTGTATATAATGGTCAGTGTTGCTCTGCTGTTTCGGTAGGTTTGTTGGTATGTAATGTTTTACTGAATGAACAGGGTTGTGACGAGGACATTATCCACTTGAGGCAGCAGTGTTGTACCTTGACATTGATACCTCTTCCTTTTTAAGAAAAAATAAGGATTTTTATATATATTTACATGTAAAGAAGCTTTTTTTTCTGTCTGTTGTTGTGCCAGTGCTAGGTTCAAGCTTTTTTTTTTTTTGTTTTCTACTGGCTTCGAACAGGCTTTTTCAGCCAAAGAATAAAATGCCTATAAAACCGTACCTTGTTCTTTTTCTTTCTTAAATCTTAATTCCTGTTGAGCATTCTGCACACAAAACTGTATCATGATCATTGTCAACTGGGAATGTTATAATAATAATAATAATAAAAAACTTTATTTTATATAGCACCTTTTAAAGGTAGCTTCTCAAAGCGCTTTACAGGATGACAATAACAATAAATAAGAAGACTACAACAATAAATAAGAAGATTTCACAAGATAGGACACAATTATAATTACAACAATAACAATAGAGGAGACCGTGGAAGATGGTATTAAGAAGAGCAGAGGGGTGAAGAATGGAACCAGTTAAGTAAAGGCTTTTCTGAAGAAGAAGGTTTTGAGTCTGGATTTGAAGGAGTTTAGAGAAGGTGACTCTCTAATATCCTTGGGCAAAGAGTTCCAGAGCTTGGGGGCATAGCAGGAGAAGGCCCTGTCACCCATACAATGTAGACGGGCTTGGGGGACAGTAAGGAGGGCAGAATTTGAAGAGCGGAGGTTGCGAGGTGGGGAGTAGGGCGATAAAAGTTCAGACGGGTATTGAGGTGCCAAGCCATGTAAAGCCTTGTAGGTGAGCATGAGGATTTTAAAGTCTACGCGGAATTTGACCGGAAGCCAGTGTTCAATGTTCACTTCCCGTCTTTCTAATATTTTTTGGGGGGGTACCAAGCCTGCATCCACGCTGTAAATATGACCTTTTTTCCTCTTAGTTCAAATCAAGCTGCATTGCCACAAACAGTGAGGTATATTTTCCTTGAATAACTATGTTCAATAAGTGAAATACAGTGATAAAGCTGAATAAACTAATATATAACCAGGTTATAATTAGCTTTGCTTTATGGTAGGAAAACTATGAACCTCAATGGGAGAGCATTGATTTTGGGTACAAGCATGTTGCTTTCACAGAGTGCTTCAGTACTTGTTAAACTCAATTCTTTTTTATGATAAAAGGAGCAGCTTCTGTTCTATGTTGTATGCTGCTGCAGCAGTGACATTTCTGTAAAGCCATAAAAGCTACAGAAACATGCACGGATCGGGGCGGGGCTGTGGACTGATTTGCTCTTTCCAATACAGCATCGCAGTGGTACATTGAATTAAAAATGAATTCAAATTGAAAGCAAGTAACAAGTTGCAACTGAGTAAGGAACACAGGTGGGAGAACTTGGAAACTGATCGTAACTTATGCCACCCCCTGAGGTAAAGTTTCAGGGGGTGCCACACCTGAAGAAGGCTCCACGGCCGAAACGTTGTGTTTTCTCTCTTCTTTTCTTCAGCATGGAATAAACCTATTACTTGTTCCATATTAATATATAAGCCTAATACGTGAATATATTATTGCATAATATCAATATTCCCTAATTTATTAATATATTGCAAATAGATATGCAATAACATTGTCTCATGCAAAGTACCCCTTCTATCAACATAAGAATATCTCACACTCCTCTTCGTGAAACTTAATTAGTACGTGTGATGTCTTTTGAATACATGAAGAATTATACCTTGAGCATTCCTGGGTTAAACACGTCATTTTCACCTTTTTTGAGAAAAACAGCTTTACGAACGTATTTTATTCTTGCCAAGAACCTGAGGAAACATGTAAACGCGTTGATGCCTAATCTTTAAACAGTGAACAAAATACATTCACGTTGAAGTAAGAGTAATACCTGCTGTTGGTCTATCGTTACTGTAGCTTGATCGTTGAATTAGCATAAAAACCCCGAAAGCTTTCAGTTTAAGTTTACATCACATACTCATGTATTCTGAATTACACAGCTAACGGCAAAACACACTGGATCCCTGAGTCGGTTTGCACAGATATGAAATACAGAAATGCAAAACAAAACCAAGACAATAAATTTCAGGAGGTCACACAAGTCGCTGTCGTAACCAGCAAAGTCATGCATTTATGAAGAGAGTCCTACTTGTGGCGATGTGTCGCAATGTTTTCATCCGTGGCGCTAATGGCCTTCAGCACACAGCGTGCACGTCAGCCGTAGTATTTAATAATCTCCCCTGAAGGGCTCGCCTGAATGATCTCTTCCTCCAGTGTGTCGTGAGAGCCTATATTTACTAAGTGTTGCACCCTGAGTCAGAACAGGCTCTGGCTTTCGCCCTCTCCAGAATAAATGGTTCTCTGATATATAGAACAGATAAGTTTACAGCATCATTCATTCATAAACCACCTGGCTGCGGAACAAGTGAAAGTTTACACAGCTCCTCCCCGTTTGGGTTACAGAGCCTGCGGTTCCATACCTTGGCAACATGGCCGCTGTCACTCTCAAACCGCCGCTCGCAGGAACTCCGTGGAGATCGCCCATGGCTGCGTACTTCCGGCACCTCTATCAGCCTGTGATATCGGTGGTCCGACGGAGCGGCTTCGTCGGCGGTTCTTCGCGGGTGCGTCGGGTCACGACCCCACGCCTGCACCAATCAGAGGAGCGGTCCGCCGCCTGGCGTCCGTTTCTCCTCAGCCAATCGCCGGGCGCGGCGCCTAGCGGGCGTTCTGTTTGGGTGCGGAGCTGCGCTGCAACTGACAGGGAGAAATTTAAAACGCAGCCGGTAACGAGTAGCTTTTACCTGTTCGAATATGTAACCCCTTCCACCCGAGTCCGGTTAGTTGCATTGTGCATGCAGCCTGAGATAATGCACTGCTCGATTGTGGATCCAGTGAGCAGCTGTTCCATGATTTCGACGGCGAGTGTGACTTAGGTTACCTCGACAAGCCCGGGTCCTCCGTCAACACGGACGCGCTGTTGTCCAGTCGGGTTGTGTTTTTCGGCTTCTGGGCGATTTCTTCACCAGGTGAGCGCCCTTTCCACGTTTTTTTTTTAAAAAAAGACCACCTTTGAACTTTGTTAGGAATTGAAATCGCGATAAATTAGACGAAAGCGCCCTTAAAGAGTCCGTAACCTATGTGTAAAGATCGAATTCAAGAAAACGCAGAATCTATGCTATCAATCGACAAAATGCGGTTTATATTTATTATTATTATTGCGCTTCATGTCGTATCGATACGGCAGAGTAGACGATTGACTGGAAGCGGTGTTTTCGTGATGTTTGTCTCATGTCTACTCCAGACTGAGATGTGTCAGAGGCTCGGGAACGGTACTGGTGGTACACGAAAGCGGAGGCATGGGCATGACTAGGAGGTCGGTGGCCTTTTGCAATGTGTAGATCGGTTTTGTGTTTGAATCCCCTCTTAACACAGGACGTGCGTGGTTAGAGTCGCCAGCCCGTCAATGTTTCAGGACGCCGAAGAATATCTAGTTGCCAATGTGGTGGCTTTAAGGAAGCAGCTCAGGAGAACGGAGAGCAGCCTGCAGAGTCTCGGAGAGCAGCTGAGGTAGGGCGGTCCGAAGGCCCGTCTGACGTTCACAGCTGTAATGCTGATAGTCTGCCCACGCAGTGTCTGCCAGTCCCACAGTCCAGGTGAAAGACCTGTTCAGAAACCTCCGCTCTGAAGCGTGCGGCACTTTTGAAAATGTTTTGGTAAATGGGTCGGGTCTGGGACTCGTTCGGGCTGTGTGCTGTCTCTGTGTGCCAGCCAGGAAGGTCAAACCTAACCCCAGCCTGATTCATTCCTGGCCAACGGCCTGGACCCGTGAAATAATCCTGGGAAAAGGTTTCCGTAATAAAAAGGCGGGTCAGACGCGTCTGAACCCGGGCTGATGCCCGCTCCCTCTCGGTCTTTACGCCTGCGTTAGCGACGACTCCGGCGGCTGCTCGGGTTCGCGGGGCGCTGCGCCAGGAGGGCTGACCCTGGAAGATCTCCAGCGGCCCGACGACATCCCGCCGCTGCCGGGCGACCAGCAGCACCCAGCAGCCCGCGGCGGGACGGCCGAACGCAGGGGCAGCAGAGCCAGCTCTACTGACGGCCAAGTAAGAGACAGCGCAGGGCCTCCCGCTGCTGGGCATGGGCACCCACGCATCACAGCTGAGCTCTGTGCTCTCGCCAACCCTCAACTAGGCCAAGATGGGGGTTTGTCTCGTTAAAGGGCTGGGGAGTTTAAGTTGCAACAGTTAAAAGGCAGCCTCTTGCATGTTTAGGAATTGAAAACCAATGAAAGGGCTCAAATAAATCCTGTTTGTGGGTCTATTAAGGCTTCAGACGTTGAAATTGGTGAGCGAGTGGAGCAGAGACCCGTGGGAGTGTGAGACCCCAGGACTGGGGACCTCTAGTTGGTGGAAAAGGTGGTCTTGGGTGTTCAATAAATCCCCCTGGAAAAGGCAAAGTGAAGAATGTGCTCTGTCCAGTTATCCGTAGGACCTGAGACACTAACGGAGACGTGAAAGGGGGACGTCACTACAGTCTATAGCACAACTGTTCCTCTGTAGAAGAGAAATGCAGTGTTTTGGCTTATACGCAAAATAGACCTGAATGCCAGTATTCAGTAACTTATTTTCTGATCACCCGTTAGGTTAAGAATCAGAGCCCCCTGTGAGCCCCCACTCTCTGTCATACCCTTGCCGCAGGGTTTAACGACAAGGACGCGAGTGTGTGAAGGCCAGTTGTTTCTGTCGGGCTCTGTAATGGCTCTCTGGCCCTGCAGTCGTTTTCAGGTCCCCCTTCCTCTGCCCAGCTGGTCGAGATGGAGAACGCTCAGCTGCGGAGCAAACTCAGCACCATCCGGGAGGAGAATTCCTCCCTGCTGATCGAGAACCGCCAGCTCGCCAGCAAAGTGGAGGGCCTGCAGTGTGAGCTCACCAACTCCAGAACCAAGGTGGGCGGTTCTGTCACCGTGACAACAATGAAAGAAAAAAGGTCTTCTTTTACCCAACGCGTAGATGGTAGAGAGAACGCTGTGCAAGCAGAACTAAACGAAAATGTAACTGTTTGTAATGATGATGGTGTTTGCAGTAAACTTTCAAATAAAAGTGGCTGCAAAAGGTAAACGTGTGCATTAATCGAGATGTGGCCTGTGCAAGACCGTCACCCGCATCAGAAAGATTGAAACATGATCAGTTATAGTTGCAAAGGGTAAGATTGCTGTAGATATTGATGACAACCAGATCCAGAGGCTGCAGTGTTGAAGTCCTGCCTAATGAGATGACGGTATTCTTTAATCCCACAAGGAGCCGGGGACAGTGGTTTGCTCAACACAGACACTTCCAACTGCAGTTGAATCTCCATTTTCCAGATCCGGCTGCTGGAATCCACTGTGGGATCAAGGGCTTCCGTTATCCCTGTGCTGAAGGAGCAGATCCATGGTTTGGACGCCGAAGTTAAAGCCCAGGAAAATGCACTGAGGTAACAAATCGCAGCGAGGAGGGAAGCTTTGACCAAGTCTCACTTTCTAAAAGAGTCTGAAGGATGTCAGAGTGCTTAACCCTGTTATTTGGTCCATGTTTGTACATGCTGCCAGTCATGCGCGGTCTAGTTTGGTCACAGCATACTTATTTTTCTGAATCTTATCATCTGTTTTTCTTTTCCTCAGCAAGCAAGTGCTTAATTTTCAGTTCTTTACACTTTGTGGTGAAAAACAGCAGGTGATCAGAAAGGTTGTCAGGGAGGTCAGGCGTCACTCAGTCTTTTCTTTTTTTTCCTGTTGGAATTTAACAGTTTCTGGGTTACATTTGACTTGGCTTGTGTTGCAGGGACGCACAGCTGAGACTGGAGCAGAGCCAGCAGTCCAAGCTTTTCAGTGAGAGAGCCGCAGAGACGCTGAAGGAGGAGCTCAGGAAAGTGAAAACGGAGTTAGCTGAGCGAACCAGACAATGGAAAAGGTAACAGAGGAGCATGAAGGCGTTTCTTTAAACTAAAGCTATAGTGGTTAGCGAAACAACACTTTAAACTGTTTTTTGATTAGTATTAGAAAACTTACCTTGGTAATTGGTAAGAAATGGATTTTTTGTGATTTGAATAGCCTTAAGCTGTTTGGAAAATGGTTTTGTCTTCGGTGCCGATTTTGCGCTGCAGGAGAGTTAGGTAAGGGATTCGTCTTATTAGAAGAGAAGACATGAAATCGCTTCTGTCTTTGCACAGGACTGAGCAGCAGAGGAATGAAGCCCTGCTGAATGCAGAAAAGCTGACGGTGGCCTTCCAAGAGTACAAAGTGAATGTGTCGGTAAAGCTCAAGAAGGTAAATCTAGCGAATGGACACGTATAACTCCATGTTCACCGGAACACTTTGTGATAGCACTGGATTTTATTACTGCCCTGAAATTGAAAGATGCAATTTTTGTCATTTTAGTATTACGCCTTTGCTGAGATGATAAATGGGGGCTTATGGCCCATATCACACACACACACGCACACGGTGTAATACTGAACAGCCACTCAACTGTAGGACTAAACTGGAACCAGCAGGTGCATTAAGCGTCAGCTTTTCACCCTTTACAGACTGACGCTGCCTCTTGATCCATGCTTGCCCCAGCACAAACTAGCTTTCGAGCCGAGCCGGCGCCCCTGTGCCATTCCCTCCACAGGCTGCAGAGGCGGAGCAGAGGCTGAAGGCGGGCCTTGAGCAGCGGGAGGCGGGACAGGAAGCGCTGCGGAGCCGGTGCGCGGAGCTGGAGCGCGAAGGGAGCGAGATGAGCCGGCAAATAAGGTCTGTAACTCTCTGCTCTGCTCCGCTCCCGAAGAGCCGATCCAGGCCTTCCTGATGTCCTGTACTTTATATTCCGACACGCCAGAGCTGTCTGCTCTAGCAAACGGTTTCAGTCGGGTGTGTGAAAAAGGTTGCAGGGGAAACGGTGGCTCCGTGCGAACATGCATTCAGATCTGTGAGTTAAAGCCGACGTATAGAAATGTGTTTTCAGTTGAGATTTAAAAGGATCAGTGATTCCACAGTGGGCTGGACGAGAGCCGCCTCGCTGAAGCGGCACTGCTTCTGTTTGTGTCTTGAGAAGAGGCCAGGGTCAAGAACTCAAAGGCCATGCTTTTTCTGGAGAAAATCGATCGCTGATGCAGTTAGGCCCTAGAGCACACAGCCGTAAGTCTCGGGGGTAAGATGTTGTTCACCTTGGACTCTTAACAGTGTGACCACTAACGGCGCAGTTTCAAGGCTGCAGGCTTGTTGCCATTGGTTTCCACACCAGTGAGGTTCTGTCCATGAAATAAGCATTTCATTGCACTTGTGCACATGACAAATCCCCTTGAACTTTCCTCTGCTGTAGGCAGCTCAGCGAGGAGCACGGCAAGTCTCAGCTGATGCAGAGCCTCCTGGCCGCTGAGAAGACAGACCTGCAGTCTCTGCTGGAAGAGTCCAGGCAGCAGATCCTGAAGCTGGAAGGGGAGCTGGCGGGACGGGAGCCCGTCCTGAGAGAGAGGGAGTCTCTGAGGAGGGAGAACGGTGACCTGAGGGCCCTCTCCGACTGCCAGAGCCAGCGGCTTGCCCAGTGCCAGCGAGAGCTGGAGGAGAGCCAGGCAGAGCTGACCAGCCTGGAGTCCATCCTGGCTCAGCTCCAGTTTAAAGAGGTACAGACCCAGGGACAGGTTCACGCCAGCAGCTGTCAAACTGCAGCTCAACACAATTCCCGCTGTCAAGAAGATGAATGACTTGAGTCTGATTTATAAGGATATCTTTTTTCAAATTCCCAGTTACAGTGCGGAGAAGACTACCTGCTCGTGGCTAAGAGAGAAATAACGCGTTCTTGCCGAGTGATATGATTAGGTCACCTTCCCTGATGAGTACGGTCGTACATGCTTATGGCCTTGACATAACCGGCCTTGACAGTCGTTGAGATGCAGGGGGTTGTGTGAAGCTTGCGATGGCCTTGCTCCTGCCGCTTGTCCTCGTCTCGAGCCTGTGTGTCGTGCCGTGGTGAGACGCGTACGTGCGTGCTCTGCGGCGCTGATGACTGCAGATGCCCACGGTGTCTTCCAGGACGAAGACGGGGTGCTCAGGGCGGAGCTAGGCGGCGGGGCCCCTAAAGACTGCGGCGGCGGGCGCAAGGCCGTGTCCCAGGACCTCAGGTACCCCTTTTTCTCAAACGGGATGAGGAGCTCGCTAATGCCGCAGGAGCAGAACTGTGTTTGACGTTGTGCGCCGCCGGTGTCCTTCTGATGCTGACGAGGAAGCAATGATGTTTTGAAGGCTGCAGCTCTCCAGGAAGGACCCGGGCCCCCCGGACAGCCAGGGCCCCTGCAGCGCTGTGCCGAGCGAGCTGGCCAGGGCGACACAAGGTGGGTGAGTCCCGCCTCTCCCTCAGCATTTCCTGGTGAAGGGAGATTTTGATCCTGAGCCAGACGTGAAACATTTTCTTCTTGACTCCTCCTTTTCCAAAAGCACC